GCCTTTTAATCTCACACTGTGTTACCTCTCAAGGGTTGTACGTGTATGTGTGGAAGTGTGTGTGTTGTTTTTTGGGTAACAGCAGGGGAGGTTAATGAGTTTGGATGACTCTGAGTCACCTGCTGGGCTTGGACATACTACATACACACAAGTCCACACACAAACCTTTGAGTGACTGGACTCAAATAGCCATATGTATCACAACAGCCCCGTTACTCTCTAACTAGCGTCACTTAGAGTTTATTAGAATATTAGAAGGCGGTGCAAATATATGAACAGTATAATAAATTTTTGCTTAAAGTAAGAGATACACAGATGGCAGGTGAGGCGATATAAACAACAAAACTGAATTAAGAGAATTTTGTAAATATTCCTTATTGCGATGCTGCTCATGTGCTGCAATGTACAGTGGATTTGACCAAAGTGCTGTACAAGGCCTTTTGTTCTGACCTTGGCTGATGGCTTTCTAAAGAAAGACACAGAAACAAACCTGGAGAACATCACGTGACCGTCAGTCTGCCTCTCTCTGTGTTCTTAGAAATGGGGTTTGGTCTCCTTTTGATTTTGGCATCCGTGTCTGCTAGCATGCGTGCGTCCTACCTGGACCCGCCATGCCTCACCACCCAGCTCTCCATCTCAGCACAGAGACGACACACCGTGAATCACCAAGCAGGGCCATTACTCACCATGCCTGGCCTGTTCTAAATAACTTCATAAATATTCCATGGGCCGGCTTAAGCGGGGAGAGAGAAGTCATGGCTCGGCGTCTCAAAGACACAGATTCCATTAGGCCCCGTGTTCCAGCAGAAACACTGTTGGGACAATTAATCTTTTAGGATCCGAAGCGAGGCATCAGAAATGGAGAAATAGAGCCAGGACAGGTATGTATTAATGGAAGTAATTGAGAAAGAGAGACTGGGAGGCAGGACAGAGAGTGACACCTGCTGTTATGAATTATGTAGGCTCTATCAGCGCTGATATAAGCTTGCCTCCTTTGTGCAGATCAAATATGTACAGTGACATCTGAACAACAGCAACAAAGGCAAAATACTATAAGGTCTCAAAACACGGATAGAGTGAAATAGAAAAACAGAATAGAAGAAAGTTTGTTCACCTGAGCGAGGACTAAGAAAACTATCACTGCAGATTCATGAGTGGATTATATAGTATTTCTTTTAGACAATGGTATAGTGCTACTTTCTGGTGTGCTTGTGCCATTTTTGTCAAATTCATGGGAAAAGACAGCAACCGAGACCATAAAAGCAGGAGAAAGGACTACAAGTCTGAGTGGGACAGATGTTCTTCAGACACACAAAGAGGGACAAATAAAAAAAGGAGGATGCATGAAAGCAAGAACGAAAATTGAGAAAAGTGAGAAAAATGTGGTTAGAATGAAAGCGCTTGAAGATGTGAGCAGGGAAGAAAGGCAACTTCAGCAGGCCCCGGCAAATCCAGAATCCCTCCGCGTTTCATCCTCGTGAGAAAACAAGAAGAGAGCGTCTGCGTGCCAGAGCCATACTTGCATTTCACACAGATGGAGAGAGAAAATGAGCCACAGAGACATCGCTGCTGTCACCATTAATCCACGGTCTCTTTCTTCTGCCTTTATCCACAAAGGGATACAGAGCAGATTTTTAAAAAAAAAGAAAAAGAAAAAAAAAAGCGAACACTTTTTTCCTGTTTTGCAGCTTTGCATCAGCGTGTAGCTCGGTAGCATCAAAGTTTTTGGGAAGCACAGCTTTCTCAGTGTATCAATTTCTTATTTATCTTCTGCAGCACTAAGACTGTGTGGTGGAACATTATTCACAAGAACATTTAAGTTACTGTTTTACAGTGATGGATGCAGACGTTCCAGCAGCTCGTGTGCAACTGTGCTTACAGGAGTCAGAGTGGTGCTTTGAGATGAGTGGTGAAATAGCTTAGCAGCACACTCATAATAAAAGCATCACCATGTAGATGGCTGGCAAAAAACAACACCAGCCATTACTAAATTTCTTCATGTTTTTCAGTCTTTGATTGAACTACTGGGCTGTAGCGATGGGGCTGCATAAAAACTTATAAGCTCAACAAGGTTTTTACAAAGCTTTTACAGTTTATCTTGACAGCAGGATGCAAGTCAGCACTAAAAATCTGAAACCCATTCATCTAATTATCCAGAGATTTAGCAAACACATTCAAGCTACCAGTTAATCTTCTAAGAACTAACCAGACTTGCTAGCATTCATGTGTCATGTTAATAGCATAGTACAAAATACATAGTAGCAAAACATCAACAACAACATAAAATTAAATTCAAAATGTAAGTCCTAAATTAAATAGGTGATGTTACTATGGCAACTCCACCTATGTTAGATGCCTTATCCAAAACGGTTTACCAACTGGCCAAACAACGTTGCCATCTCTAGCACCACTGTGGTCTGTCATTTACAGAGGTGGAGGTGTCACCGCTTTGAAAGTGACCAATCACATTAGGGCCTTTGGGCTCCGCCCTCCAAATTGTCAAGAGTCAGATTTATTCGTCCATGACTTAGTTTTCATACTTTTTTGTAGTGAACAGGAAACAGACTGTTTTTGCCCCACAGTACAAACTCTTACAATAAAGAGAAACGTCGCTGATACATTTTAAGTTACTGGTGGAACAACGCACAACAGTATCTTGGCTTAAATACCATCAAAGCTGATAAAAAGAGAAAAGTTCTAACATCCTCATTAGTGTCAGGTATTTCACTGTTTCTCCAACGAAAGGTCAACCAAATGATGTCAGTGTAGAGCCAAGACTCATTTCTCCACCGTCATCTCTCTGGGGAAAGTGCTACACGCACGCACGCACACTCTATTAATGACTAGCCGTTACTCTCTAAGCACCTGCCAGGCCCATGTTACATTTGTCCTACTCGTACGTTCATTAGTGTGTGTTAATATACACAGGGCTAATGGGGTGTGTATGAAAATGCACTTAGCTCACTACAGGAGAAAAGCAATGCAGCTTATGAGTACTCTGGGGCACAGTGGCATCCTCTCATAAGGATTGGACTCATACAATGTTCAAAGAGTGTGAGACTGAGCAAATATTTACTGGAGCTCTGACGGAGATGGATGAGAAGATTAAGATTTAGAGCTCAGTAAATAAAAATATATCAAAATGTTGTCTTTTCTCTCCTGTCCCCAGTGTTTGCCTTGTTTCATTTCATTCCCTCTACATCCATTTTTTTAAAACCTTGTACCCAACGATGGCCTACTTATGTATGAAGCCATGGTGTCATGTTTTAACCAGGCGTATGTGCCGTTATCATGTCAGCAGAGCATAATATCTCAGATAGATCGGTCATTCTCTGCAGGTTATGGGTTCACCTTTGCAATTCTTATCTGCCCTCCCATTTCACAAATACATAAACACAGTCTGCTGCATCATAAATATTAATGGTATGTTCAGTGTCCCAGACTAACACCCTCAGTAAAGGGGACATTATACAGCCACTGGGGACTGAAAGGCTGAGAAGTACGAGTCAAGGTCACTGCTATAATTCAACTAGGGCATCCGGTCCTGGAGGGGAATTTTTTTGTGTCATAACATAACAGTATCATCAGCTTAGTCGCATCCTTCGGGCTAAAGAAGAGAGGGACCATCCGGCTCGTTATGAGTGCACAGTTCAAAAGCTGGCATCACGGCTCTTACATTTCAAAGTGAATCCCAAATCTTGTTTTGGGAGGGGGGGGGAAATTTGGACTGTATTTGAAGGAGAAAGTCTCTCAAAAACAGAAAGTTTTATTTTATAATGACAGTCTGGCATTCATCCCAGGGATCCAGCTCTGTTGCATAAGCCCTTCAATTCGAAGCTTAGAAAAAGCCTTAGAGATACACATGTTTCCCTATTTAGGGACAAGTCTGGCTGTTTCATCTGTATTTTGGTACGAATGAGGTCAAAATGATATTTCTAAGAGAGACTGAAGTGAAGAATTTCAGTCTGCTAAGAGAAAAGGCCTAAAGGGCACGTGGAGTGAAGCACTGGATTTAAAAAAAGAAAAAAAGAGCACTGACATACACGGAATATAAATATAACCCAGAGATCTGCTGCAAAGAATCAGCAGGCAAACACAGAGTAGAATGAAAGTGATCACCGAAACATGAAAAACTAAAAGCTCAGCATGTTTTCACACACCATCGGTGCCCTGCACTCACCCAGCCCATCTCTCCCGGTCAGGACGTGTCTACAGGTCATTCGCGGGATAAAAGTAGAGCAGGCAGAATGTGACCAAGGTAGGAAAGTCGGGGATAGAAATGTAGCATTAGAGCTCAGTCTGGCAGAGATAAGAGCATGTTTAAAATAGACAGGGCAATTACAATACGTTTAAAAAAAGCAGTGTTTCCACACTTTCTTATCTGGTATTGAAACCTAGTTTGGTACTTTTATCAGGACAATTTTCCGACAAGAGTTTAAAAAAAACAAAAACCTGCACTGCAGCCAACTCCTCTGGAAAAAAAGAATATAAGCAGAAGAAAAGGGCATATCTGTTTAAAACTGAGCTAAAAATGCCTCCTTCCTCCCCACAGGCAGCAGCAGGGGTCAGTCTGGATTGGAACCGAGACCAGCTCAGCTATTTAAACAAGTAAAGACAGATGAAAAGGGCACATCAATTTGAAGTGGACGTAGGCACAGCGTCTCTTTCTCTGCGCAGTGTGCCGTCCAGAGGCGGCATATTAGGCTGAAAAGGGGCTCCGTGGGGGCGAGGTGCATCACTAAATAATGAACTCCTGGCAGCACAATTACAGGGCATAATGGCTGCTTTCATCTTAACAGTTAGGGGCTGTGTGTACTTGTGTCTCTGGATGTTTGTATTCTTGCACACAACTATATGCATCTCTGCACGTAAAGCATCTTGGGTTTTTTTATTTCTTTATTCAAAGTGTGTGCAAAGAGTGTGTGTGTGTGTGTGTGTGTGTGTGTGTGTGCGTGTGTGTGTGTGTGTGTGTGTGTGCGCGTTTGCTGATATAGACTTACGGAGCTCGCCCACTTTCAGTATCTCGCACAGCATCTTGGTCAGCTCGATGCTGCTGCGGCCGAACGGACACTCGTGTTTGTCTTCTCGACTGCTGTTCTCCAAGACAATCTGGAAACAAGAGGTTATAAAATAAGCCAGGCAAGAAATAAGGACTGTATTTCCTCAGGGCTATAAAACAAAAAAGACATTTCTGGTGAGTGTGTTGCCTGAAGGCTGGAAAAAAAGCTCATTGCCCAGACTAATTAAAAAACTGAATGTTCCCTAATTTACAGAAAATTATTTTTTTGTTTTGTTTTTTTTAAATTTTTGCTTCTATATATTTGATAGAAAAGTTCATGATTTTTCACTGTAATTTCATTTTTTTTTTTAAATCTATTACTTCATTACTTTGGTGCAGAATGAATAGCAGTGAGTGATGTTTTTATCAGTAGGAAAAGCCATAATTTATGTCCTCCTTCGTATATTCCAAAGCCATCCAAGGGGCCGGATTGGAGTCTTTGCTGGGCCGATTCTGGCCCACAGATCTTATGTTTGATACCCCAGCTCTATGTGAAGAATAATTTGTGATGCTGTGCTGTGTTCCACTCTGACAGGTTAACTGACAGGAATTAATAGCATTTACTGGGTTTGGTTAAAGCAGATTCACTTGGAAAAGCGAAAAGTCGCTGGTTTAATTCCAGCCTGGGAAACAAATGCCCTTTGGAGTTGTGTCAGGAAGTCTATCCGGTGTAAAATCAAACATTCAGAGCTACCTGCTGCAGTGACAGGTGAGCCTTAGCACGCATTGCATTTTTGACACTAATTAGGTGCAGGGGCCTTAAACCCTTTTAAAAGGGTTCAATGTCACACTGAAGGTATTTTACCCATAAACACTGAGGTAGAAACTATAAGTCTTTTTCTTGACCTTATCTGACCCCTTAGAGCTCGTGGATTAACATAAATTAAATCTACACATAAAAGTCATCAGCAAAAAACCCCACTCTAATTATGTGGATGGTGGCAGCACGCCATAACCGAGGCCATCAAGGTCCCAATCATTTTAGCTGGCGACAGTTTCATTTGTGGAATTGAAGGCTGTGTTTTCTCCCACTGTTCGTCTGATAAGGGCTGAGCGGGCACGACTAACGTTTCTCTTTTCCCACAATCGTGTCTAGAAACCGTCACACACATAATGATGAAAGCTGTATAAAATCATGCTGGCTATCATGAAAGGATGACAAAAAGCACTTAATGTCAGTGCAGCATTGTTTAGAGACTGGCGGTGAAAGAAATTAAATAAGTTTTATCGTCAGGGCTGAGAAGCCTCGTGAAATGCAGTTTTACTGAAAGATGTGTTGAGAACGAGCCAGAAACTTCACTGACTGAATGAGCTGGAGGGAAGTGAGGCTTTTGTAGGACACTACAGGAATCTCTGTGCGGCATTTGTGTGTGCGTTAGGGTTGTACGTGCGTGCTTACCCTGATGTAAGCGTCCTGGTGGTGCCTGGCAAAGTACAGCATGTTATCCAGAGCCAGCATGCCTGGAGGAATCTGGGTGAAATCCACAGCTGGATTCACATGGTTCTGAGAAAAACAGAGGTGCAGTGTGAGACATGTTTTTAAACACATTTCACCAAATCTCCTTTTTAACCTTTAATCTCTTTGATATAATCGATTAAACATCCCGTTTCCCCTTTTCCCCCCCAGCTGAGGGATCACATGCACAACATAAACACTCCTTCTGTCAGGGAGGAAACTTGGAGTTTTAGGGCCGCGTTAGTGGAGCAGGAGGTCATCCTTTTAAAGCCCCTCAAAGCTTTTGATTCCATTAAAGACAATGTTAATAAAAAAAACACTAAACAAACAGTAGAAAAGTACTGAGGAGTGTGTGGGTGTAGATTGATCTGATTTATTCGCAGCAGGCTGGCAGTCTCAAATAACCGACTGTAATTAGATTTAGGTTAAAATAATGCAAAATTATAATTGGTGCAGACTTTATTTTTAAAACTAGAGCTCTGCCCACTTGAAATCTGTTAAGTAAAAACAAATACACAACTTGTCGCTGATTATTAAACAGATACATGATCTTCACACTCATGGCTGATACCCTGTAAGATCTACTAAAAAGGTTGTTTTCCAAGCCTTGCTAGGTGTTTATATATATATATATATCTGTCTGTTGAGAGTCTGAATATCTTCTACTAGTGTATAAACACTTAAAATATCTTCCACAGTAGGTGAAATGCAAAAGATTATTGGGCTAAAAGTTGACATTTTGGAGATGGATATTGTAGTTACGACACTAAACTCAAGTAAATTTCGAAATATGGTAAGTAACTCTAACTGGAAGCGAAGGGCCATGGGGAAGGAACAATATGAAATACTAACTTATACTAAAATATTCAACAATATTCAACAATCAGACTCAAAACTTTTAAATAACAAAAACACAGGCACTACTTTTAACATCTAAATATTGCATCAGACATGCGGGAAGAAACCGTTTGTGCTGAAAGTCTGTCAGACGTAATTATTTCCAGACATTGCAGACGACTAACAATTAAATGCACAGATACACGCGAAGACGCTTCACTCCGAGACTCTTCTTGACTTTTAAATGTGACGCAGAATACTGAAGAGGACAGCGACAGGAAGACGAGTAAAGGAAGCGGAGGATGAAAGAGAAATGGAGGACAGTGAGACCTGGCTCATCAGTTTTGTAATTCTGCCTGACAGCAAGCAGACTTATAGGCTTAAACCAGAAATAGACTACGTGGCACATGCATATCTAATCAAATGTGAACAATCTCCCAGCATGTCCAACAATATCTACTGAATAGAAGTTGCGTATATTAGAAGGTAAACAACTTTTCTCAGTAGTGATAAGGCTGATCTAGAGGATGATGAGTTTTATATGTGTGCACGCGCAGTATGTATGTGTGGGTCTGTGCAAACTGAGGTGCACTGAAAGCAGACTAAGGATTTTTAGGGTGGGTTTTCTCCACACAGTGGAGACAAGACAGGCCAATTTGGCCTTATCTCTACTGAGCACACTGCAGTCGGAGTGTGAATGGGAAGAGCCCCGAAACGGCTCTGGGCTTACACCAAGCCACAGTGGCTTTACTTAAGTTCTTATGCCATAGTTAGACTGCTGCATACAACACAAAAGCAACACATAAACACACACATTCCACAATACTATACTTATTTTGGTACATTGCATCCAAGGCTGTACAAAAAACGTAGCTACTGGGTATGAACAGCAAAGCCAAAGCATAAGCATGATGAGTTTATAGTCACAGGTTAATACGACATGATAGTCCTTTTCTTCTTTTCATTGTCAAAGAACGATGAATCAGTAACCTTTGGGTCACGACTATCCTGTGTAAGTGTGGAACATCCTCAGTTTCTCAGTGAGATCTCCGCTTCACTTGTGATATGTGGCTTTCAAAGACCACAGGAGCCAAAATCATTAACTTTAGGAAGTTTGCAAACCAGTGGGTGACATCATGTCAGCTTTGTTTATCTTTGATATACAGCCTGTTATTGCACTAGCTGCGATATGTTTAAAAGAAGCTTTTTTTTACCAGGAGGATAACATCAGAGAGGAAGCGGATTAACGAAGCCCTCTAAAAAGACTTACAATAAAGCCAAGCTTTTTGTAGTCGCGGGTGTACATCGACTTGCGTTTCTCAATGCTGCCGCTGTTGTTGGGCTCCAACTCTACGTCGAAGGCGATTCTCCGAAGCTCAAAGATGATGTCTCTCTGAGCCTGCACACACAGAGAGGAATGTTAAAGCGCTGCTCACAAACCCATCAGTCTTTTCTTCCATTTACCACTTTACAGTCTTAAAATCTTTCACCCTCATTCTCCTTCGTCTGGGGTCTCGCAGCTCCCTAGGCAATCTGGACAGTAGCCAGTTCCCCGATTTAAATATTGAGCCAAAATTATTATTTTGGATGCTTCCAGCCCAAACAACCCACGAGCCACTGAACAAAAGATTAATGATTGTAAAAATGGGGGGAGAGGTACAAACACACATGGTAACAGAGTATATACGGCAAAAACAGAGTTTGTACAATTCCAACGAACTTGAAAGTCAGTCTATGATCCATCCAGTCGTTACAGTGTTTTTCTATTCAGGGATGCTTTAACGTATTAGCAGTCTGTTTGGGATCTTTGTTGAGCTGAGAAATGAAGCCGCTGCAGATGATATGCAAATCTGATGGTAATCTACCTCCCTCCCTCTTCACACCCACCACCACCCGGTTTGATTGACTGTCCCACTCCACACCTGGTCCTGAGGATCCATCTTGGTCATCATGCGGTCCTCGAGCAGGTTGAAGTTGAGAACCTGCAGCACGTACAGCTGATGTGCCATCTCATCATTAATGGGCGTGTTGCTCCGGATCACATTCTGCATGGCGTAGAGGACAAATGGGAAAAGTAAAGGAGAGGGGAAAGGGTTTAGGGTCAGAAAGGCGAGAAGTGGATTATGCCGGAGGACGACAAGATATGACAAAGAAGAATAAGAGGATTTGGACGTGAATGGCGAGGATTAGAAGGCAGATGAAGGAAAAGGGGACGGAGAATGAGATTTCACACAGGAGAGAGATGATGAAGAGACAAAAGGGAACAGGTGTGGAAAAAGTATCCACAAGAGATAACGACCAAGGGGGTGAAACAGAGAAAGATGTGGCAGGTGTCATTTTTGTTACAGAAGAGAAGAGGTTGAAACTCGAACAGCAACAGGGAGAGACAAAGACAGAGAGGAGGAGACAGAGGAAGACACTGGAGGGGTAAAGAGGAGAAGGGTATGGGTAGACTTACACTGAGAATGATGGAGCGCAGCTGTTTCTGGGCAAGAATATGGGCCATCTCCTAAAGGGGGAGAAAGAACAGTGGGGAGGAACAGGGAAGAGCGGGAGAGAGAGTGAGACACAACGCCATATCAAGACAAAGCGTCTTAGGATTGTCCATGCTACGATGAGGAATTAAGACGGGTAAAAATGAAAAATACATAATTAATTAATTTAAAAAGTAAGAAAGCCATCCGAAAAAAAGGAACTTAAGAAGGGATACTAAATGCACTAGCTGTTGTCTTCTACAGTGCAAACTACAAAGGGTGCTAATCAAGGGTGCACTTACTGTCAGGGGACAATTTAGGATGTCCACAATGTGCTCATCATACTACCATATCGTGTGCAGTGAAGAAACAAAGTCAGAGACAGAGAGACAGAGAGGGTGAGTGAGTGAGTGAATGTGGAGGAGAAAAAAAAAAGTGTGAGAGGAGGTTAAAAAAAACATTTTCTGTCAGCCGAGCAGCCTGTGGCGAGAGGGGAGAAAGGGGGGTGAGGGGCAACAGAGTCAGCAGAACGGTGACAGTCTGGGGGTTTGTAATAATAGGTCTACTGATGGTCGAGTCCTTAATGCACGCACACAGACACACAAAACACTCTTGACCTTAGAGGAAAAACAAAACAAAAAGAGTGCAGCCAGCATCTCACATCTTCTGCATCACGCTGAAATAAACGATCACGATTAGTGTTAGTTTGTGGTCCCACAGCCCCACGTTTTAAAAGCGGCCTGTTCGCAGAAATAACACAAACACGTAACCTGAGCTAAAAGAGAAACAGCTTGCTTGTCCCCTAAACAGAGTCTTATAAAACACAACATCTTCTCTGAGCAAGCTCGGTGACAAAAAGTGTTAAATTGATAATAAACAGCCACACGCAGTCTGTTTTCAGCACTGCGGCGAAGCTCGTTTCGGTCTAGCGTGCCTCCAACTTTGTGCGCTGCGCAGGAGAAAGGCTCTGAGTTAGCATCATTCATTATTAATGTCAGAGCGCATCCCTGGACCCTATGGTGCTGGGGCAAGGGATCATGTGATGAGCTACAGGGCAACGTGTGACATGTGTGAGAGAGCGTGTGTGTGCGGGAAAGACTGGAGAAATGGGAGCATGGTAGCACTTCTTTACACTCAGGTTTTATTTATTGCACTACACTGCAGATGTTTTATAGTTTCGTATACAGATGCACACCGGATGCATACAAAAGACACAGTTAGACACTGTTAGAGTTGAAAAATGCTGATGACTGCAACATGAAATGATCCACGATACAATATATGCAGTGTATTTGTGTGTGTGCGTGCACCGCAGCCTCACCTGTCTCTTCTCCTCAGGAGCTTTGAGGAATAAAGCATTGATGACAGCTATAGTGTAGGTCTGAATGTCTTGATCAGTCCTGTGATTAAAACACAGTCCAAATAGGAGGTTAAAGGCATTTATCACTATGAAGCTTTTCAGAAACCAGCGAGCTCGATTAATGTTAAAAAAGAAGAATTTCATTCATGTACCCCTGAAGATGCGGGATAAGCTGTCCAATGGTGATTTCTTGTGCCACCTTGTGGTAAAGATCCTGACTGTTGAGCACCATGGACTCCAGGATCGCCAGGGAGCGCTGCAGCACTGCCGTGTCCATGGCTGTCTTGTTCACGAAGCTGGCAATCTGAAAAAAACAGGGCAAAGCGTTTAGAGGATCTGTCGCAGACATGGTTAAATTTTCCATAGCAATTTTTGATTGAAAATTAAGGCAATAGGATCCTGGAAAAATAGGATGGAAAAGATTTCATAACTTTTAAAAGTTTAAATTCAAACTTAGGTACAAACTCTGCAAACATGTTTTACAAAAACACATTTCATAGAGGTAAGGTAAAAAAAATAAAATAAATAAAAAATAGAAAGACTTTGAGATGAGGGAAAAAATTAAACACACATCTCATAATGAGTATTTTTGCCTTTAATGTTTATGTCCTGAATATCGGACCATTGCCAAACACTTTTATAGACATTGAGCTTCGGGACATTATCATAGGACAAGCTTCATTGCAGAGGCTGTAAATGTCATGATGTAAATGTTCGATCAAAGCTTTATTCAGCGAATAACAACAGCACTCTGAATGCCGTTAATAAATCAGGGCTGCCTTTAATGAAACGTTTTCTTGGTCTGACCTTCTTGATGAATGCCACAGAGAAAGTGTCCCAGGAGACGATGCTGTGGTCCATCAGCTCCACAAAGGCCGTCAAAGTGAAGGACAGCAAGTCTCCAAAACTAAAGGGCAGGACACACAGAGACACACGCAAACCATAGGACGCTTCTCTCTAGCAGATGGCTTGGAGCAGTGTATAATCTGCAAAGCCCTGATGGCTTGGAAGGCAACAAGGGGCGAGCGGTAGGCAGAAACAGAGAAAATGGTGCATATGAAAATAAATTCAATGCCGCAACCAGGCTGGCTGAAGAAAGACAGAAGACAGGCGGAGGGGGAGAGAAGAATAAATGGGGACAGAGGCTTGAGATGCAGTGCAGACAAACTGGCCTTCGAGAAACAGCAGGGGCCATCAGAAAATCAGCAGGAGCCGGGCAGCACAGGGCGGCGTTCAATCAGGACCAGAAAGCTATGTTATAGAGTGAAGTCATGCAGTTACACAAATATCAAGAGAAATCAATCAGCTCTGCAAGAGTCACAGGGGGCCAAAGCAAGGACCACATTAAACAGCCTCCACTTCATATTTCTGCTGCATGAACTTAATGAAAAAAAAAAAAAAAAATCGCAAATGATGAAATATAGAAGCTTTTACTTCCTCATAAATCACAGCAGTAGGAGTTTCTGGAGTTACTACCTTTCTACTTAACTTTTACATGAGTTTTGGGATTTCTGGCCTTTTATTAGTTTCACCAGTAGCTTTTACAGTACTGACCTCTACTGCTTACAACTGGCATTGCTCAGGCAAATATTGTGACCTGGCCTAAACGTGTTGCTCATTGTTTATCTTACACTGATTTACTGTTAGGTGCTTTAGTAGATGCAACATGAAAATATAGCAAACACCTATGAGGCTATAGTCAAATACAATAAATGTTTGACTAAAAAATGTTGGCATCCTTCCTGAAACTTCTATCAAGAAGAAAAAAAAAGATACACTTTTTACAAAAGTGAAGATCGCCGTTTTAAACACAACAGAGTGGCATCGACCGTCAAATCAGCAAACCAGAAACCGAAGATAAAATGATAAGAAATGCTTTCAGCACACGGGTCAGTACTGCTGCATGGTACATGATTAGTAACAGTCATTAGTAACCCACAGCTGAAGAATGAAGAGGCCTTTGCAGATGGTACTGGGCATTTTGATGTAGTTACTGTAACTAGTAAATGCTTAATGAAATCGAGGAACACTGAAATTAGAGGATAGATTATTTAAGATAAAGAAAGAGAAGAAAATCTTATTTGACAGATGGATGATGATCCTAATGTGTGATGTCTTCATGTGTGATGTGCTATTGGCTAATAATGTAAAAGTAGCTGAAGTCTAATAGTGAGTGCAGAGACAATCCCCCTCACCCTGAGCACTATTTAGGAAAGAAGACCAAGATTTAATTCAATGTAAGCACCGACTAAAACTAATAAATTAGCTCCGCTGAACCCCAAATGGCCATAGCAATATCTGATCGGGTTTTTATAGATTTCTCACGGCATTACATTTTTAGAAATAAATCATGGCCTTCCAACAGTCTGAGGCAAAGACGTAAGAAGATTATTTTGCCCAAAACCACATGCAAAAAAAAATAAAAATTTAAGTGCAAAACTGATTTCAAAACAGAAGCCTGTAAATGGCTGTGTTAAACACATAATTATAGTAATTCCCCATAAGGCTTTGGGGCCAGAGTCTTCATCATGCAGACTCAGGCAGCAGGTTAGGAAGAGCACAGAGTCAATGACGTTACCCGGGGGGATGGGAGGGGCTTACCATGGCTTCATAATCTTTTGCAGTTTCTGATAGCGCCTGTAAAGAGAAACTTAGGTGTCACAGGTGGGAAACACACAACAAAACCTTAAAGTCTCAGCAGGGAGCAACACAAATCACAATCTTTTAACAATAAGCATCCCTCAAAGAGACCAGACTCTAAGGAGGTCCACTCTCATACACAGAAGAAGGATTCCTTACTGTGCAAATGTAAAGCAAGTCTCAATATAAACAACTTTAATACACCGACTCAAAATAAACACTTTGGATCGCTAAGGGGCTCAAAGCATGCCAAGCAGAAACGGCTGACAAAGCGGCTTGCTGCAGACCTAATGTGCCACAGTGAGCACAATGAAACGGAGTTTTGCACATTTCAAAAAGCAGAGACCAACTTGTAAATATGTGACAGGTGCAGTGGGAGAAATGCCTTACGCTAAACAAGCAAAAGGAAGCAACATCTGCAGAGAGTTAACTTTCCCTGAATAGATTCGAGATGACAGGTGCACTCATGAAGTTCAGCGATACTACCCATGTGTGCAAAAATCAGCTAATATGAGGTTGTCTCCATGTGCACCTCTGTATTGCTTCAGAGATCTGGCAGTCTGCTTCCGACCACATGCATCTGGGCTCTGGGATTTCAGCATGGATCTCAAACTTCAGCTTCTGTGTCCAACTGATTCAACCTTTATGTCGTGGATCATCACTGCTAGGAAGATCCAGGTCTCAGACTAGACTAGCTGAATAGCTCAAAGACATTTGATAAGTATGCACTGAGACAGGAGGGCAAACATGGGTATGGAGTGAATTTACCATGAATTCATCTCTCAGGGTCAGACTGTTAATTTGGAGAAATCTGATAGAACAGGATTGGTCAGAACGGGACTTTCTGGAAGCGATCTACAAACAGCAGCAGCCCTGGAAATGAGGGCCAGGTCCAGAAAGAGACAACCTTCATGGGATTTAAACAAGGGACATTTTTTTGCTCTTAATGGGTGGAGTTTCAGAACTTCTTAATTTCACCTGATAAAATAAACAAAAAAACTGTTTTAACAGTGGGGTTTGATTTCAGTATCAGTGTTCCTATTACTCTGTAAATCCAGTTTTCAAAGGGATGACACTGCTAATAAGGTACAATTCAATGGAATAATGTTTAGAACAGGTTTTGTGAATTTAACAGGCAAAATTATGCTGGGAGCTAACAAGACAAAAACAGAAAAAACATGAATGACAATATCAAGGTGGCAGCATATGTTAAACCTGGTCAAAGAAGACCGAAGTTGATAGTAAGTCTGGCGGTGTTAATCAGTTTGAAGTTGCACTGTACATTCTGAACGTGTGTCAAACCACAGTATGAGTTGCTCCATGTTTTTGTCAGTAGAGGGCAATGTCTGCCTTAAACTTGGAGTTTAGCTGGGCAGCTGATCTACACATGAATATTGTGCAGCATCTTTGGCAAAAGCATCAGATCACAGAACTGCTCTGCCCTCATGAGTCTCGAGCACAGAGCCTCTTGAATAATTACAGTTCACCAAGTTGGTTGGCAGGCACACTAATGAGTGTGTGTGTGTGTGTGTGTGTGTGTGTGTGTGAGAGAGAGAGTGTGTGCATTAGCCTCTGATACCTATCTGCATGCCTGTTTCATAAGCTACTTCTGTTGAGATGGAAATGCAGCAGAACCACTCGCCCTGCTCTCTTTTGCTTACACGCGCCGCTTAAACTCTCAAACCCTGAATAGGATTTGATGGGAATTTAGATGAAAAACATATTTAATCAAAGGGCCAGGAGCAACAGGAGGAACCTCGGTGCTGCTGTGACAGCTCCTTGCATTAAGATCAAATATTTGCTAATTTGAACATCATATTCAAAAAGGAGAAGAGGCCTCACTGATTTCCTGTCAAGCTGTACCCACAAACACTAGATCACTGAGTGGTTTCTGCTAAGAAAAAGCCATTACATGTCTAACCAGAATTTGAACCTTCATTTAAAAGCAATCATGAGCGTGACAAGACGACACCCGCACAAAAAAACTGCAGTTCTTACTTTGGGTTTTCACTGCGCTTCTGTCGGGACACGTTGAATGTCGTGTGTTTATAACCACGCATTAGGTGCAAAACAACTCCTCAATCTATCGTTTCTCCCCCTGGAAAAAAGAAGGGCTGGATAATGGGAATTGCACGAAGCAGAAAACGAGCACGTCTCGCATGGCTGGCCGCTCCTGCCCTCCCTGCCAGTTTGCACCGTCCATCTACTTCTGTGTGATTGCGTGCACGTTTTGCACTCATACTGTAATTCAACTCTTGGTTCTGGCGAGCTCTTTGCACTCCCCACAGCACGCCACTGGCACAAACCCCATCTCCCTCGCCCGCCCACTCCCCTCCCCTGGCATCACGGCTGAGAAGTTTCACCTCAGCGAAAAAAGTCCTCGCTTTAACCTTCAGTTGAGACGGTCTCCAGGGCACTACGCCTGCCCTCCACCCCCCACCTCAACACACACTGTGAGTTTTTGGATGTGCTGAACATGCAAAAGGCAGAGTATTTCCTCTCAGCTGTGTGCAATATCACTATCATGGTCACCAAAGATGAACAGGAGCTGCTGGGCACTGTGTGAACCTGTTCTTCTCTTTGCAGCACAGGGTAGCATTGTTGAACCCGAGGCAAAACTTATGCACAAGGTTAGGGTTTTCATTCAGCGCAAATGTACGACTGATTATTTCATGCAGTGCATATAATGACATTTGCTATATGACCTAATAACATCCGCACAACCCTGCAGCACGCTGAAATAAAAGCGTTCCACATCAAAGGCATCTTCACAAAGATGGCGATGACACGAGACACCAGTAAAATAAATCCAGCTTAACAGAGTGAACTGAGGAATGTCAGTGAACGAGCGGCCAGTCAGCTGCTGTAAATGCTTTGAACTTAACCGGTCAGACTGCACAGTGCAACTCCAAAGACCCCCTTTTATTCTCACTGAAATCGGAGATCCACCTGAATACCATCCAAACCTGCAGCCCTTTTAAATAACGCCGGGGTCTTGTTACAAATTTGTGGTTCGTTACATCAGGCCTGTGAAAAATAATGTCAGCGATATGTGAAATTAAATATGGTAAGATTTGAATTAGGTATCCCATCGAACTGGAGTCTGTGTTTGCTAGTTTTGATGGATCACATTCTTGAGTCAAAGTCTAATATTGCCACATAAATCCAAAATCCAGAGGAAAACATTGGAAGTATGTACTCTTCCCTGCTCCCTATAACACACACGCACAAACAAAAAAGATGCTGCAGGGGAAAACGGTGCAAACAAGGCAAATCCAAACAGCAAAAGAAACAGTCTTCTTCTCACTTACTCAGTCCCACTTTCCACCATCTGAGTGAGCAGCGAGATACCATCGAGGTTGATGAACTCCTGGGCAAAGGTGATATCCCGGGACGCGTTAGCCAGGTCCTTAAGAGCCTCCAGTTTGGCGTCCATGCTTGATGACTGGATCCGTTCATGAAGCTGCACTGCCGTCTGGTACTGGAGGGCAAAAGGGAAAAGGAAACAGGACGTGTCCCAGATTGTGAACGATTTCATACGTATTCACAGAATTTGTTTTTTCAAATGGCAAAACACTTACAGGAGAGGTGGTCAAACGAAGGATCGAGCCGTTCTTAATGTCGCTGCGATTCTGTGGAGGATTACAAGGACACAAGCAGAAGTTAGTGTGCACTTCAGGCCTTTATATCTCCCTCTTGGATACAGCAGCTTTGCAGATGAGCAAACCTTTTCTGTGATGTAGAAATTTGTCGCGTCAGCAATCTGCAGAGCAAAGTTTTCAGGGCTCCCCAGGGACCACCTAAAAGGCATTGGATAGAGACAAAATACACTGTGTAATTGGTTTAAAAGTGCATTAAAAACAGCAAATAGGATTCAAGTATGGGGGTAGGGGACAGTTAAATTCAAATCCAAAAGACATGAACTAGTGCATACATAAAAAAAAAAAAAAAAAAAGCAAATGAAGACTTACCCCTCGCATACTTCTTTAATGATGGCTGAGAGAGGCTTTTTCTGGGAATTAAAAAAAAAGGCAAAACTACATTTAGTTCACAGTCTAGTACTGAGTTCCTAAAACAACAGGCAATTCAGAGAGGGCTGCAATTATTTTATATTGCGGGACTGGCACAATGAGAGGCTGTTCTTCAGGAGCCTGTATTTATCCAACTGCTGATGTGGGATCATCGACCATGGCTGCTGCACCGCTTCATTCATTATTAGTGATTCAGTGTTTCTACAGCGGTGCAGAGTACATCTTTTCAAGAACCACATTTACAATTTCACAGCTAAAAAATTGAATGAAGATTCAATGAAATATACAGAAACCCCTCAGTTCCCCAGGAAGCCTAAAACAAGATACTGTCTAAAGTGAAACAAGTTTCTTAATCTAGATCTGGGGACATCTAATAACAGCCTTAGTATACCAGCAGTGAAAGATTTAGCATTACAAGTCAACTCATGTTGAGGCCAACCTTCCCCCCCGAGGGGCAAAGGCTACACTAAAACTTTGATGTTTTATGATGCTGACGTCAGCCTGCTTTCACAACAACACGCTGATGTCTAACCTTTGACCTATGATCTTGAAGCATTACAAACTAAAATGGAGTATTTTATTATCTTTAACCATATTATTGGATTAAAACTGGCTGTAAAACTTGAGATTTTATGGTGTCATTGAAAAAATTAAATGTGTGTTGTACAGCTCTCTCCATGCCCTTTCATATGATATATTACTCAGTATGGTTTCTTAAAAAAGTTTTCAGTGTTAACTTTGACCTTGGGTGCTAGCTATAAAGTAGCAGAGCCAAATGCTCAGCTAACCTATGTACTCTGGTCCTCCAGGGCCTGGTATATTGTTGTGAAGTTTGAGAACAGACAAACAAACTGAGCCAATTACACAATGTTTACTCATTACGTAGTTGGGGCAGCACCTTTTTTAAATGACTTTGATCAACCAAAGATAATAAAAGTACAGAAAAACGATATCAGGTTCTGAATCAGGATACTTCATTTTCTGCTGGGCCAATTCTAACCACTCTTTTCTTTAAATTCTTCCCCCCCAAATGCATGAAGATGGATTCGTTTGAGTATCTATATATCAAAATATACGAGCATATTGCATTATTGCTTTTCTGGGGATTAGCCCAGACAGTGAGAGAAGCTGCGGTGATGAAGACAGACAGACAAAAGATAACGATGGCAGGATGGTGGGCATATATGACAAGGAAAGAAAGGCAGAGTGGTGACAGAAAAAGAGGGTGGGCTGTTTGTGAACAAAAGGGAGAAGGGGAATAAACAAAAGCAGGAAAAAGTATGTGAAAAGAAAAAGTGTACACATAAAAGGAGTTTGAGTCTTTTTTTTTCCTGCTCTCAGTGTACTCATAAAAAGCAATGCAGCTAATAACGAGGACAACAAACAGAGATGGACACAGAAAGATGAAAAATTAGGAGCATGCAAGATGTGTATGAGGAGGGAAGCGAGATAAATAAAAGCAGCGTGTGCACGAGAAATGCTAATCAGTGTTAACTTAATATCTGCTTGCTTGCCACTGCCATCATCCTCAGGCTCTGTGGGAGATACAGTATGCTGCCAGGCTACATGCATAATCTCTATACAAACTCACGCAAGCACAAACACTCATAAAAGTACTCGACGCTACCACCACGTTTCTAAAAGTTTTCAGCTATTTAAACCCCATATTTACCTTAACCCCCCCTTCACAAAAACAACATTTTAAATGTTGACTCAAAGACATTTTTAATCGTTTTTGGGAAAAATAAATGCTCTTAGAATTTAGTGCCAGTTACATGTTTCAACCAGAGGCATGTTTTCCACTGTGTTGCATCACTTCTTTTAAAAAACACTCAGAAGGCATTTGGGAGCTAAAAGGGACCGATGCTGTAGCTCTGAAAGTGAATATTTTCAGTGGTGACGCTGACAGACATGGATTGCAGAGAGTCCCTCTTTCATTACAGATCATGCTGCAGTAACACGAGCAGAATGTGGTTTGGCATTTCAGGAATAAGCAAACCCTTCCTAGAAAATGTTGCTCCAAAACCTGCATACGTGCAACGTTTGCATGTCGTCCAAGCCGCTGCGCGCCAAGGAGCCATCGTGGATGCTGGCTTGTTATTTTTCCCACGACAGCAACTGAAGCTCAGAGGATGGAGCATTCATGATTAAAAAAGAAAAAACAAATCTGATTTTGATTACTTCCTTGCTTACAGAGATTTCTTCAGCCTCTCAGAATCATTCGGTTTTTGCAGATGATGCAACTTCAGGATTAAAAACTTCATTGTTAAATTGCTGAATTATTTGGCAGCTCTTGACAGAGTAGTAAAACCCTTCCCGTGTTAACTTCTCAGTGAATCATCCTCTCTGGTAAACTCTTTTTATACCAAGTCATGCTAATGTGAAATAAGAGAGAAACACAGAGATGCTTCCAGTGACCCTACTTTATATGTTGCCTATTATGTACCTATAAATACAAGCAGTTCTCCAAGCTTTAAACTGACTCTGTTTCCCCGTCTACCATTTCCCTGTCTAACCTCCCACTACATCTTCCTCTCCTTTACTATTACTTTCAACCCACACGAGCCACTTTGTTTAACTTACTGTAAGCCCAGTCAGGAGTATAGTTCAAGGGTAGCACCTACATAACCGGAATTCACTTTGTACAAAGGTGAAAAGCAAAGCTGTTATCTATAACATCCTATACCACCCACTAGATTTCAGCTCCTGTTACACCACACAATAGTTTATCTAAGGAGTTATTCCACTTTAGCACATTTGGTGGTTATTCTTTTTTTTTCCCCCTCCGAGATCATTTATATGCAATAAAGCATGACCCGCTAGAACCTGCTAGCCATTTTTGCACATTCACTGAAGGTGAATATAAATAAATGCCTTTATTTTTAGTTTTCTATCTTTTAACCACAGCAGTGACACTAATATAAAACCAATTTTAGCACATTACCTAAAACTAAGTGGGCTGTTAGTCTTAGAGTTTGTTTCTTGCCCCTTTCCACCTGCAAACATTCCTCTCATCCCTCTACTCCACCAGAAACCCCACCACCCAATCCTCCCCCAGTTTCTCTATTGCCTTTCTGATAAACAAAAAGCAATTAAAAACACTTAAAAACAACTGTCTAAACTTGTAGCGATTCCCCCGCATTCCTACATAAAGGTTGGACTTCTGTGCCTGAAGATGTTTGGAGAGATACAGAAATCACAGAGACACACACCGAAGCAGATGTAGCCTAAACACACTCACGCGTGCACTGCAGAGGCGCATATACAAACAGACAGAAGTAATAAAAATACACATATTTGTCGGCATGCACATGGATACAGGCACATGCATGCACACACACAGCAAATAAGCATGCACACGCATGAACAGTAACAACGATCCATGTTGCCACACAAACACACCCACGCACATTTTCACTTAAGCAGAATTTTACCTGCGTAAACAAAATTTACACATACAAGTTTTCAGGCATGTACACACACACACACACACACACACACACACACACACACACACACACACACACACACACACACACACACACACACACACACTTTCTCTGGGTATCAAAACAGCTCGAGCTGCAGAAGCCCACTCCCCGTCGCATGAGTCAGACAGCCATATGCTGCTGCAGGGCCTATTGTACAGAGGAGATGCAGAGGGAGGAGGAAGAGGTGGGGGTTGATGGTGGAGGACAAGAGAGGAAGAAGCACAGCGCGCGCAAGTTTCGCAGTCACAACAAAACACGGGGAGGAGGAGTGCGAGGGGGGAGCGAACAAGAGCGAAAGCAAAGAAGGACAAAGAGGAGGAAGGCAACACAGAGGTGGAACAAGAGGAAGATGACAGAGAGAGATAAAAGGAGGTGGAGGAGGATGAGGAGGAGGAGGAGAGGTGGCTTAAAGAAGTAAAGACAGACCTAAGCAAAGCTAAAGGCAATCTACTCAGACTGGAACAGCGCTGCTGATAAGGGGGGGGGCATTTAATACAAAAACCACACCCCCTAAATCTCTACTTAAGTGTTTAAAGCACCAGAAGCACATGTACTTCACAGTTCAATACTTCATTCACTAGTTCATCCATTGAGAAGGGCAGTTGTGACTCCGGTTACCACGGTGACTCATAGCTTTTACAATCATTAGCCCATCTGTGAGTCACACAAACAACAAACAGGCCAATTTATAAAACTGTATGTGCAATCAAACAAAGTAACAGCAAAAATGTCCCCCCACACACACACACGGGGTAGTCGCTGTTTGGGCTAATTATTTTATTAGCATCTAATCTAGCGCTGGATAGACCCCGACAATCTGCCGACATACGGCATGGCCATTATCTGTGGGCTCGTAATGGATGCGAGCTGCGCGCAGGCGAAAGCAGCTGCGACGCAAATCTACACAGAAGTGCAGTTTCAGTTTTAAAAAGCACACACCAGTGTTGTTAACTGTTGAGCATAAACATAGCAACTGCATTATGTAAATCAGTGGAATATATAGCTATGCACTGATGAGGTTTCATAGCGCTTTAGCATTGCAGCTATTTAATGTTACAGTTTTTAAAAAACAAACGATAAAACCCTCCTTACAGTCGTGGAGCTCCACCAACCAATCAAGTTGCAGTTTAGATCTGTGTTTGTCCAGATGCATGCAATATATCAAGTGAAGACTTGGAAGAAATTTAATAGTGAAAACACCGCAGATTGAAGAAAGAGGAGATTCATGGATGTAGCAAAAAAGTTCATACAGAGGCTGGAAGAAGAGGACACTAGGGGTAGGGTGAGATAGCGGAAGAGAGTGATGGTGAAAAGAAGAAACCGAAAGAAGGCAAAGAGGGTCGCAAGATCTCCTCACGCTACCGAGTTACAGTGCAATAATTGCCACAAACAGAACATTGTGATGCTGAACGTCTTGGGTAATGGCCCAAACTGCGTGACATCACAATGATCCTTGACCACGACCATTACTTTAAGTGAACATTTGTGTCAGATGAAGCGAAACTCGCTCGAGGAGTTCCTCAGACATCACAGTCAAAAGAACAGGAGGTCACAGAGACCCTGACCTTTGACAAGCAAAGTTAATCCATTATTCCTTTGAGCTTTTGTCCAAACCTACTGAAATTTCCCTGAAGGTGTTCAAGAGATATCACATAATGCCTCTGACCACAGCTGTGACCATTATGTTTTACATTTTAAAAAACAGCATCACTAAGATTCATTGATATTGTAATGTGACAGATGCATAAAGCTTTAACTGAGTTTGTTTTCCATAGCAGACAATGTAAGAGTGAGAAGGTTGCTCACCTGTTTTGTACATGGTGTTGTGCTTTATACCAAATCTCACCTCCAGTCATATGAATACTTTTTGCTCTGACAGTGAGCTAAACAGCCCAGGTATTTACCCACAAACATCCATATTTTTTGTCACTTTTCTTAATGACAGAGCCAGCCTCTTTGCATTCAGTGAAATTTCTTTAAAGCTATGTCAAAGCTGTGACTAACTGTTAAACATCTTTAATCAAGGCCACATCCTTGAGGCTAATTAGTATAATTGATGGGAACAACGCAAAAGCTGCACCAAGCCCTGATCACATCCGCCCAGCCGCTCCAGAGAGAGACACCTACAAACATCCAAGCGATTTCATTATATACACAGCAACGGATTACTGCGCAATAATGTGTTCATACAAAACACGCACTGTGATTATGGTTTTTAAACCTGCACGGTGAGCGTCACAGACCCCAAACATTTTTTACTGGTTGTGCTGGATTTAAAGGACAGTAATGTCTGCTGGTGAGATGACGGTGTCTTTTGTTGCACTGAGGCACATACCTGGTCTATCTCCATGAGCTTGGGGAATGCCCCCGGCCACTCAATGGCCACCTTGACAATATCTGCCGGCGGCGGCATGGCTCCCAGGGTGGGGGGTGAGAGCCTCACTGCCTCACACCTCTGTCAGTACTACTGAAGATGGCTCATCCAAACCTGTAGGGTAGAGTGAAGGGGAACAAAAAGAAGCAGAAAATGAGGCACATTAGTCACTGATGTTTGCTTGTGTTAGAGTTGTTGAAATTCAAAGACTATTTTAAGACCGACAAGGACAGCGCTGAAAAATAAGACACAGCGCTCTGGGGGTGGGGGTGGGGGTGAGCGCAAGCAAATGAAACTCATCTTCAGGAGAAGCTAGTGAACTGCTAAAACCAATAAGATCACTTTCGTATAGCATTTAAATTTTTAGAGGAAGTTAGTCAACTGACCTACTTACATCAATTTACTATAATTTGTGCACCCACAAGAAAGTAAACACTCTGGCTCTTTTTATTTCGTACCAAGAAATCATCTCAGGTAAGGCTGGCCAACAACAGTGAGGGGTTTAGCATCAGTACCAGTTTAAAAACCACAAATACACTGCATGCTGTTCATTAGCCCATAGCTAGGACAGGCTCTTCAGTTAAGAACTATGCTCTGCATGCTTATTCCTGCAAATACTGGCACTGAAAGTCATACGTGAATGCAGTTAAACTTCTATCGCTTATGCAAACTAAGGCAGGCAGACTTTTTATTTGTCCTCTGAGATCAATTTTTCCAGGGGTAGACTAATTTAAAGTTGGAGTGTGGTACATTTACATATAAATAACCATCCAATAAATTCGAGCCCTTGCCAAACAAGCTCATACAATGCTGATTAAGCCTATCACAGCCACGTAAATCTCTCTGTATTTTGCAAAACTGGAGTTTTAAATGTGGTTACTGCAGTTACTTTCTGTACAAGAATTCAGAAGGACGTTAGAGCAACTAAGTGCATTTACTCCCACTGCCAAAAGGGAAGACAAAAAGTCCACACATCTGGATATATTCAAATTGTTCACTGGTGTTCGAGTCAAAATTCAACTGCTACTCTTGGTTCTATTCTCAATTCAGACATTTTTGTCCAGCAGAAAAACCATAAACCACTCAGCAGCATCTTCCTGTGACTCAAGCAGTGGAACAGTTCAGTTTGAAAGTCCCTTTGGACATTTTCACATAATAGTTCCTGTAGCTTTGGAGAGAGGACGTAACTGCCACATTAAACCACATTAGCATGAACATAAGAGTCAAAAGCAAGCGGTTAAACACGTTAGTAGCGCAGAGCTTCTTCCACAGCCTTGTGCAGTAGCACTTGCTTCAAGGGGTATCCCTTCAATTTAGCATATAAAAGGTCAGTTTACTCATCATGGGGCGCATAAAACAACCTTAAAAAGATCTGAGCAATGTCTTCTGTTATTCTGGGTGAGCTCTGTCAAGTCTGAGTAAATTACTTAAGCGACATGACCCAGATATCTTAGCTTGGATTGATAAAAAGACTTGATTAGCTGCAGATTAAAAAAAGCTAAAACAAAAAAAAAGTTGATCTGCAAAAGGAAAGCAGAAAAACGATGAAGCACAGATTAAAGATGGATGTTAGTACTTGACTTGGGGATGGGTCACAACGTAACTGAATTTTACAATTATACCTTGAATCTGTATAAGCAACCATGTGAACTCTTGTTCATAAACAAAGCAAAGGCAAAAGACGTCAACACTCACTCCACTTTCATGCAATTACCCCTACGCTAACACTGAACCTGTAATCCTCCTCCCTGACCCCTGTCAGCCCTTCAGGGCACCAAAAACGGCATGATATCTCACATAGGAGACGACAGCCAGATGGACCTGAAAGGCTGTGGATAAGCCAGTTTGTGCTTCCACAGCTTAAAGAAAGGCAAATCAGAGTCACCCGGAACCGTGCGGGGAGAGCTGAGCAAAACCACTTCTGTGTCCTTGCAGGGGGTCTAATGAAACCTGCCGGTGGACGAGTCTCGAGTGGAAAATGTAGCATAGAAATCCCCCTAATCAACTGAGGAAGGCATCAATAATTTACCTTCTCAGCTTGTCTAAAAAACTCAGATAATCCTAGTTCCTGGTGAAGAAGTCTGATTACATATTTAATTTGAAAATGCATAATGTATAATGGCTGGCTCAGACTAATTCCTGGGAGAAAACTGCTGAGCGGAATATGGTGTTATTATAGTGTTAATACACATGGCAAAAGCACCTGTGGATGGATGACTGGAGACGTGTTTACAAACACTGACCACATGTAATCTATGCACGTGTGCATTTAAAGAGCGTGTGTTAATTTAAGGACACCGGCCTGGCGTTGTGTGTGATTCACCCCATAATAATCCACATAGCCTTTATTCAAGGGCCCGTTGCCATGGCAGCTGCTGCATCAATAGCTTGAGATGTGGATGCATTTTCGTTCAAAACTGCATGCCCATACTCAAGTCACGTTTGTCACAACTTCACAAAAATGAGTCACTCCAGCCCTCTGCGTTGAACGAGCGTGCCTGCTGAAGATTAGAACGGTTTCTTAATGCATGTTAAATACTTTCTGATACACTTTGCCTTCAGTGATGTTCAGTAAATTAGTGTTTTGCTCCGCTTTCCAGCTCTGTAACCTTACGCAGAAAAGATAATGCCACAAAAGATGAGGAAAAACAAAATGGAAAGACAACACTGAAAGAGATCTATGTAAACATCTGGATAAACTGAATTCTTGAATCCTGCTTTTCTATTTGTTCACAAAAATGTGCCTTTTAAGAAAAGAAGAAGAAAAAATTAATTTCAGGCTCATCCTGTTTTTCCCATGTTAAAAATACATGTCCCAAATACAGGAGCCTTACTGTACTAACACATGTATGATTCATTCAGTTGCATTACACAAAGAAACTCGCATTAGTCATCTATGTACAGATAATCATCCCTCTCAAAACTGACCCGAAGTCACAGAGAGACAGAAAATGAAAGCTAGAAATCTGCTGTTCTTGAGACTGCCGTCAACATTTTTAGCCCTGATATTCCAGTGATTTTAATGTTAGTCCACTGTTTAATTTGTCAGTTTCCTCAGGTTAAAATATCACAGCAACGTTTAAGTGAAATATCTCAACAGCTGTTGGATGAAGAGCCATAACATTAGCTAAAGCTTGTACATTCACATGCTCTTCAGATGCTCCCATTTCCAAAGTTTTCCTGATTATTCCAGCACACATACAACACAGTGCATTAAAGAGGCTCATGAGATGAAGGGTACATGCTAAACTTTATCCTTTAAGGTTAACACACCATCACAGTGAATCTAAGACTTTAAGTTGACACTGTTTTCTGCACCAACATGTTAGCATTATCTAAATATCAGGGACCCCCAACAGAACCCAGTTGGGGTTTTTTAGGTTCTAAGCCTATATTAACTATTTGATGATATTCGATGGTACTGGCATTTATAACATCTAATAAATGAAATGTGAATAATGAATTGGATAACCATTAAAAAAATGGATGGCTGGATACCAGAGTGCAATGTTGGGTTTTTAAATAATTTCTCTAATCAACAATCCCCTTTTTGTCTTTTAAAAACACTCACAAAAAGTAAATAAGTAAAGCAGTTTATTTGAATGTAATTGTTTCGTATTGCTTTAACTAAACCTACCAGTGCAATTTCTGGGACTTCCAGTTGTAACTAAAGGCAAACAATAAAGTCCACTGGGACATATTTCTGTTGATGTTATCACAGACATAACAGGATCTGATGAGTAACATGAAACTGGAGTGCATAAATGCCAAAGATAGCTACTGTGATATGTTTGCACCAAGACTTAGGCTCAGTTCACTGAGTACCCTGCTGTGATAACACAAAGAAATAACCAAAAATTACAGGAAGATCCAATAAGTGAAGAATTCGAGAGACTTGTTTGTACCTTAAGTCAGAGCACAAGCTCATTCTCCTGACACAGGATTTGTTTTTCCAATAAGGATGAGAAGTGTGTGCGTGTTTGTGCGTTTGTATCTGTATGTGTGTGTTCCCAGGACCTTGTCATCATCTTCCAAGAACTTCAGATGACTCAAAGATGGACTGCCTTGAGGCATATTGATTGGAAATACACACATGTGCACGTACCAGGCCACACACACGCACACATTATCTAAAGCTTCAATTTAATTGAGAAACACAACGTTTCAACACACATAGCACACCAGAGCTACAAGTGGTCCAGGACTCATTCGATCAACATGTTTTTCTAGCGATCGACACGCCGCGCTCCTGCAAACAGCTTCTTAGAAACAAGCTTTTCACACCAGGATTATGTCTGGCGTCCGTATACGTTTGCCTTCATATCTACAAAAGATCATGATTTACATGAGCCATGTGGTCTCTGTATCAATTCCCTTATCTGTCACTTTGGCATCTCGCTGCAGCCTCTTTACACTGTAAATGGAACCTTGTTATCGCGCTAGCTGCTGTCACAGCTCATCATGTCAGAGCAGGTGATTTGCTGCAACCTGGTTTAGCTGAGTTTGAGTGACTGAGTGTGTTTATTTTACGCTCTGCTAGAGGGTTAAGCAGGCCAGCGGGATAAAGAGCTCATTCCATCTTTTTTTATCTTCTGGATCTGACCCCGCTTCTTTTCTCTTCTCTGCTTTTCTACCGCATCTGATGTTTTATTGCTTTCATCGACCTCTTTTTCCACTCCGTGCTCTGCTTCTCTCTCCAAAAACAAATTATTTTGCAGAATTTGACCCAAATAATACATATACACTCACCGGCCACTTTATTAGGTACATATATTCAACCGCTGGTTAGTGCAAATATCTGATCATCCAATCAAATGGCAGCAACTCAATGGATTCAGGCATGTAGACGTGGTCAAGGCGAATAAGAATGGGGAAGAAGGGTGATCTAAGTGCCTTTGAATGTGGCATGGTTGTTGATGCCAGACAGGGTGGTCTGAGTTTTTCAGAAACTGCTCATCTACTGGAATGTTCCCTCATAACCAACTCGTGGGTTTACAGAGAATGGTACAAAAACTGAACATATCTACTGAGCCACAGTTTTCTGGATAGTTGTTGCCAAAGGAGAGTGGCCAGACATCTTTGAGCTACAGTTGCTCAAATAACCACTCAAGGTATGCAGAAGAGCATCTCTGAACGCACAACGTCAAATCTTGAAGCAGACGGGCTGCAGGGCAGAAGACCACACCGGGTGCCCCTGCTGTCAGCTGAGAGCAGTGTTTAAGAACAAAGAAAAACTGGGAAATTTGCACAAGCTCATCAAAATTGGACAACAGAAGATGAAAAAAAATATACTGACCGGTCTGAGTCTGGGTTTCTGTCGCAACATTCAGAATGTAGGGTCAGAATTTGACATGGCACTGTAAGTCAAGGACCAGAAAAGCCTTATTGGATGCTCTCTTTTTAATTCTCTTGGTGCAATCTTCATATTTACACGTTGTATTCAGCACCATGACTCTTGTACAATGAACCCGCAGTCTAACTGTTCCAGAGTCAAGCCCAAAGTTATTGTAAGCTTTGAAAGTACATGTGTGCAATTAATCTGTCCTTATACACTCGCCCACCTGCTGTTACCAGGAGGCATTTAGTGCTGGGTTACAGTATCTATCTTCCCCATGATTACATATAAACAGAAGAAGCTAGAGCCTTGTTGATACTGGAATTTTGGAGAGGGTACCAGTTTTCTTTAGAGAGAGAATATTATTTGATTTAGGTAAAAAAGCAGAGAAAAGGATTATGACTGTTTTGCTTTTGAACATTATATAAACCCAAATAAATGACAAATACAAAAAAAAAAGACTGAGACTGTGAAATTATCAAAGTACAATTTATGCATCTTTCCATTTATAAGTTTAATTTAATCATATAGTCCATTAAACAGTTTATTATTGTGTGATTCTGTCACCTGCCAGAGGTAGAAATTAAGGAACAAAGCCATCAGTAAAGAGAAGAGAGATGATGACAGCAGAGGAAACAGAGGGGAGAGAAATCTTGTGTTTTGTTAGGCAATACTAGGTTTCACCTCAATAATTCATGATGTGTAATAGAAGGGTCCCACAATCTGTGGAGGGACGAGGGGAGGGTGAAGGTGAAGGCAAGGGAACATGAGTAGGAACAGAGGTAGGAAGGCTACGAGAAGCAACGTAAATGAAAGCGGGGCCGACAGCGTGTCAGAGAAAGTTAAAATGAAGGGTACTGATAATAAATAGAAAGCCAGAGAAAATGTAATAAAAAACAGAAATAAAGCAAAAAAGAAAGTAAATCAGCACATTATAGACATCTGAGAAAGTAGAACAAAAGAAAAGGAGAAACAGAGGGTTAAAAATAGAAAGACAAGGGTTATTATCGCATTATATGGACGTATCAGACCGCAGGATGACTTGTGCTAGAGTATGGTGAGACTGGGCTGCTCCACCAAGAAACTTTCTGTGAGAGCGTCAATGTTGTGACAGAGACCATGAGACGGCACTTTTTAAACACCGTGATGTGTCGCCTAGCAGCACTTGATGAACGTCAGACGCCTTTAACACATTTACCTCAGTGTCGCTCTCAAACTCGGTCATTTAAGTGGCATTTAAAGCAGCACGACCTGAGGAGGCTGTTATGTGCAAACACCCTCACCCAGGATCAGGACTGGGCACATTAGAAACTGGGACTGTTGTGGAGGGCCGAACCCTAGGAAAATAAGCCCCCATCCCTGCATTACACAGTCTGATCGGGTAACACTTTTACATAGTTTTTATTCGGTTATTAAAGTCTGGTTAAATACACAGTTTAATAATTAATGCATTTACATTTTTCTTTTTTAAAAAAAAAGAAATAATTTAAAGTTGTAAAAAATGTAGCCAAATTTCTCCACTCTCTAAGACAACTCTCTATTTGACTCATCTTACTTGTCATGATTGTAACAAGTTTCTTAACTGCTCATCATTATAACTTCAACCTCTTACAACTTACATAATGGAGATCTGTTATCATTCTGTGGTTCTACTAGAGTTCAAAGAAGTCCCCATTTCTTTCGCTAGGCCTTGGCACAGCACATCACTTATCGTCTGACCAGCTCCTGGTTCGAGAGCCATTCCCACTACCTTTCAGCCACATTTATTCTGATTGGCTGACCCTTGTCAAAAGAAGGCTTGAACAGCAGGTGGGTGGGGCTTGACCGATTGCGATTTATTAAACTTATCAGCAAATAGCTGGTACGTGACATATAATATCGTCGTGGTCTTTACTGCGCTCACCTTCATCATACAAAAGAGCAGAAAGGGACTGATTGGAGCGGTCTGAATCAGGGCTTACCTGCACATGCTGAACAGTATTAATTATGCTTCAAGAAAACCAAAACGTGCAAGTACTAACAAGACCTTTTTATCCCCCTATATCCACAAAGACCAAGCAAAACGCAATGTAAATGTAAAAAAATCTTATCATAACACATCTGGTCACCCAAGCTCTTGTGTGCCTGAAGTGTGTCTGCACCACAAGGTTTCACGGTATCATGTGAACTATTAGTGTGGGAGAGGTTTCATGTTTATTGCTTTCGCATGAGAGCTTCAAGAATTGTATATGGAGAGATCAGTAACTTTGTCTTTGTGTGGGTGTGTCTGTATTAGTCTGTGTGCTGGCTGGATTTCAAAAGAACCCCTTCAAGCTCTTCATCTGATGCCTCTACAAAGGGCCCGCCTAGCTGCAGGGGTTAGTGTCTGTGTATGTGTGTGTGCGTGTGTGTGTGTGCGTGCGTGTCTTCAAAAAGACCACCATCTTTTATTTGAGTTGAGACAAAAGGCCACAGTCGTGCTGCAGAGGACCTAGAGTTATTGTCGCTCTAAAGGTGACACCTTTACACATCTACACACAGCAGATGTTCACGTTACACTTATTGTGAGTGTACATACAAAACACACCCTGTAGTTAAGGTAGATCAACTATGAACACCATCTGACGCTTTATGTTCCAAATATGTTACTTTAACTTGATATGATTGAATTAACGATACAGAAGTGTGCATAATAGTAGTTATTACAGCTCAGTTACATTTGCACTATTACTGCTGGCATAAATTAAACACTTCAACCATTTAGGAGGTTGGAAAAAAAAAAGAAAACTCGCCTGGCTGGGAATCACTGATGAATAGAGTGTCAACACAAAACAGAGCACAGTCCCAAGAGCCATGAAAGGCATAACAGCAAGAGTACACTTAATCTTAAAATCTTCATGCTTATTTAGTTGTTTTCCCATTCTTCCACAACACACGTATACCTAACACCCAGTCGACAGGAAAAACCACTGATTGGAAGACAAAGGGCTGAGAAAAAGGCTTCAAATAAAGGACAAAGACATAAAGGGTAAAGCTAGGGATAGGGCTGAGAAATGTGGCATCAAGATTCAAACAAACAGGAAGCGTCATGTTCTGAGGGACTTCGCATACCAGCAAGACAAAGAAAACAATCTAGCCAAGTCATTTTTTAAAAATATTTTTATTATGTAATAGACCATTTTCTAAAATTTCTAAAGTCTCTGTGCGACCCATGTGCCTCTCAGCGGGCCTCTGTGTCACAAACCGCCTTCGCTCACACAACACTAGCAGGATATCCTGTCAAAGGTCGCTACCAGCTGCTCGTAGCAACTCTCAGCAGCAGCCAGCCAATCTCTTTCAAGGCAGTTATGCTGCTAACACCAAGCTGACTTTTGCATTTATGAGTTTACATGTGCCACTCAATATACCATCTCTATGTTTTTTTAAACATAAATCTACACACACAAGAAAAGAAATGAGCATGGAGCTATGATGCACCACCAAACACAGAACAAACACAGCCTAAGTATAGCGCTCAGAGCAGAGCAAGCTGGCAAATTAAGGTAAACAAGTGAATCAGAAACAATTAGAGGTACTTGGATGATATTCTGTAAAACCAAGTAATAAAAACACGGAAATTATTAGTGATGAGGAGACAAAAAAACTGAGACAGAGAAATAGAAAAAAAATCTAAGGCAAAATTAGGCCCCAAAGCACAAAACTAATCCTTAATGTTTATCGTGAGGGAACATTCGTATTGCCAAGTAATTACTTCCCAATGCAGCAGATTTATCAGCTGTGTAAGTATACACTTTCTTTAGCCAATCTAAAATCATAAACTACTGACACCACATTTCCATCCCACCAAATTACGAGGCCACAAGGCTCAGCTGTCTTTAAACTCGTCCGTTCTTTGACAGCGCAATTCTTCTTTGGTTTGCTGGAGGAAAACCCACGCAAGTTCCCTGTTCTTGGAACAGACATACCAAGACTTTTACCACTCCAGACGGCAAACATCCTACCGCACAATGGCCGTGCTTAAGGAGGTGGCACACTGGAGATTAAAGGAGGCAGGGGAGCACACGGAGCCACACCCTGAGGCCTACTGCATCCTGTGTAGCCTTTTAAAGAGTGAAAAGTACTGAAGACTTGAGGACTCACCCGCAAGACATCCACCAGTACTCTTAGCTTTCTTCCCAATCAACCTGCTTCTTGTGCATGCGACTACAATAACAGGATGGAGAGGGCGACTTCGGTGTGACAATCTGCCTCCAAGTAAAGTGACTTCAGCATCACAAGCCACAAACAAAAAGTTCACCACGGTCTGGTCTGTGCAGTGCTTCGCCTGAGGCAAAAGAACAACCGACAGAGTGCTGAGACAGAAGGAGGAAGTAGAGGAAGTAGGCGTTTTTCGAGTGAGGAGGAAACAGGTCTGTCTGTTAGAGAAAAAAAAGCGGTAAATTCAAAGATAAGACGACAACAGCCGAGAAAACTTAAAGCTCACATGCAAGGAAAGACAAACAATGCATCTGTTTCAAGCCTAGGAATTAAAAACACACTCAGTGAGGTGACTGGATTACTTAAGGGTAATTATAGCTTATGAATATGCCATCAGTGCCCCCCTACTCCAGCTCCACTGTGTTAGTCTAAACTGTTGAAGCCTTAATAGCCATCTACAAGCACAACAAATTAAGCCCAAGACTTATTCTGTGTGTATATGTCAGAGTAGACAGCTAACCTATCAGTGACATTTAGCACGCCAAAAATAAAGAGCAAGGTTCGCCCTTGTTCGAGAGCCAAGCTGCTGCTGCATCTAAAATGTTGGCATTAAAACATGGGCTGAGAGTAACGATGAATTCATGTATGGATTCAGATATCATCAACCAGTGCAGCTCACACTTTCACTTCCACCTCTCGCTCCCCCTAATTACCACAGTCTGCAACAACAGAGTGACTCAGATGTTTTATACTGTCACAAAAGATCGCTGATCATCAGGCCAAACGCCTAAATTAAACATTTACAGCTTGTGCAAGACGATGACATCTTCATCTCCAGCTGAGAGCTCAACAGGCCATCTGTGCAAGCGACACATACAAAAAACAGATGTTTGCTCCACCCAGGCTGAGGTCAACTTTGGTTAGAGTCAGCCCCATAAATACAAACAGTCGGGACTCTCGGTTCTTCCAGGGAGCCTCCGAAAGGCGAGCGCCCAAGCGGGAAAACATTTCAGCTCAGCCACAGCGGTGAAAACAAAACATGCCAATTGAAATATATCATATCCTCATTTAAGTCTTTCATGTTCCAAGACACGGAAATATGAGCAAGATGACAGGCCTGCATGCGAAATGAGCGGTCATGTGATCGGCTGTGCCGTCAGAGCCAAACTTGGAAACTATCCTGACCTGAGGAAGTGAAAATATTTAGAGGACCTATGTCCTGGCTATAGAGCTAAGAATATCTGGGATATACTCCGACTGTCAGCAAACTGTGACAGAGGGACGAAAGCTAGCAAAGAGAGAAGCACGCCAGAGCTTTATTAATCTGTCCAAACTATCTAAACTCCTCCTTGAATGTCCTGACTTTGTAGTTGCTTTAAGCATTCATCCAGGATGCTACGACATATCTGTCGAGGTTGGCGAACGTGACATTTCTTCCATGTCACCATCTGCTCACTAAAACTCAAAAACTGTACAAGACTACTGAAGAAATTACACCACCCCATTCTTTCAGAGTTAAAAGTCTTATGATCTGAAGTCAAACTCTAACGAGCTCATTTTGGCATATTTCCACAAATGCAGTTAATATGCATATCCCTCTTCCAAAATGGAACAAAAAGTCCAAACCTACACAACCTCAAAAAAAGGAAGAAAAAAAGAAAGAAAAAAAACCACAACGAGGTGGAAATATTTATGCTCGGACCTTTCTGAGCATGTGGACAGACAGCATTTCAGTAAACTATTTTGTGCAAGTGTTTTGAGATGTTTACGTAATGATGAACAAGAATTTAAGCCGCCCGTAAATGTTCCTCGTTAACAGAACAGTACAGAAAAGGCGCTAACACCCAAAATTTAAGCATGTGCGTGTAAGTGACGAGGGGGTCGATACTCAAAACTTTTGATTGACCTGCTGCAATGTTTACACATACATTTTTTTTTTTTGGTTAGTTGATTTTATGATCTCTGTGTTAGATCTGAAATGTGTCGAGTTTATCCAAAAGCAGCAGACTGACTGAAGCAGTCTCGTCTGTTTGTGGCTCTAGTCTTGGGCTATTCAGCCTTAGCTGGTTTTTTAAAAGAATTTCAAAAGCCAAAAGCTTTTGAAATTCTTTTAAAAAGTGGTCTTGAGCAATAGTTCTGCAGACTTTCAAAAAGCCTTTTTACTCACTTTCCTACCAGAGCATTGTCAGTTTAATGTTGTGAGGTTTTTTTTTTTTGTTTGTCTTTTAAATTAAGCCACTTAACACTGAAGCACATCAGAGCACATAACTCCACGGGATGAGCTAGTTTTGTGTCTATCTTTGGGGACTTTTGTAACTAGCAGCCTATCACATACATTTATTTTCCCCCTACTTTTTTACCTGAATTTACTAACAGTCTCAAAAATAACAATGTTTCACAGGCATAAAATAGTATTTTAACACCAAAAAGGTGATTCCCTATTATTATTAAAAAGCTTGTACACTTAAAAACTTGTATGTTTTTGGATGGTTTGCCCTCAATAATTTTGAGGAAGCTGGACAAACAGTGGACAAAAGAAGAAGTAATTATAAATAACTGTTTATACCAGACGAACAGTAGCTGAAAATTTAAAAAAGGGGAAAATCCAGTGAAGACCTGACACCAGATACATGTGGCCCTTCAGTTGATCTGTGCACTGAAGCCTCATCAGAAATAGTGTCAGGGGAAGGGTGACTGTCAAAGAAGGGAAACAGGCAGAAAATGATGAGGTATGCTAAATTACACAAGAACTGAACTGAAAATCAACAGCAACAAGTCTTATGGAGTAATGAAACCAAGTTTGAACTGTCTGATTCAAATTGTCACTGGTATATATGGAGGTGATGAAGAGTTTACATGCATGACAATGATCCCAAACACACAGAGACTGCAGAAAAAGCATAGCTGGATATAAAAACACACACTGAAACACTAACAGTCATGGATTGGTCTCCCCAGAGCCCCGACCTCAACATTATTTAACCAGTGTGGGATCATCAGAATGGAGAACAGAACAAAAAGCAGCCAGCATCCAAAGAAAAGCTTTGACTGTCCTTCATGAAGCCTGGAGAACTATGGACTAGACTTTTGCAGAGTACTGTGAGAGCTTAAAATCAGCTATTACTCAGCGGAAAAACAAAGAATTTGGCATATTAGAATACTAATAATTTAAAGCTGATTGTTTCATTTACCAGCTATGCTGACCTATTTCTGAAAAGTAAACAGAAGTTTTCACATACATAGCAGCAAGATGTTGATTAACAACAACACATGGGCAAATATTCAAAACAAGTGTTACTGTTTATAAAATTCAGGAGCTGGATATCAGTCAGCAGCTCTATGACCATGGCCTAGATAACCACTGTTTGCGAGGAATGTGAGCTTGTGGATGCACTTCTTTCTACATGGTTGTAGATCAAAGCGTTAACTGAAAATTTAAAGCAAATGCAGGTTTTAAATAAAGTCAGGCAGGTGCTGACGTCATCCAATTGACTGGTGTTTCAAAAGCTTCTTTTCTTATTCACAGACTTTCTCTTTTTTAAACATAAAATGAATCGGCACATTCCCACATTGTGCTTGCAGAGGAGGTTGTCAGGCCAAGATAATTCCATAACACTTCGGGGGTTCATCTATTATTCAAAGCCACATCCACACTTATTCCACTTAAGAAGAGTAACACGTTTCACTTGCATGATCAAATCACAGCCGTAAATGAACACAAGCTATTAGCCTGCAAAAAAAAAAAAAAAAGAAAAGAGGAAAGTCCTGGGGTTTGAACGGGGCACTGAGAAAGACAGACTTCCTGCTTTAGACTCTAAACTAGATAAAATGCAAAAAGAGATAACCTGTAATGGAGTTATCGTGCACCAGTGGACCATTCTTACTGGACAAAGAAATGAATTACATCTTGCCAGTCCTTATCATCATTAACAATGCTCCATGCATGCATATGCTAGGTCTGTAAACCATCAAGATAAACGATAATCTACAGTTACGCGATGACAACGTCAATCAAAGTAATGTTATTAGAACACAAAAATATAGTCGTCATTATTTTTCTACAAATGACGCTTTTAAAGCAGTGTGTCATCAACCGATTAGACCACAGAGAATATTGAGGGTGGAGATGAGACGGAGGCAGACGATCTGCTGTGGTGGTGACCCCTAAAGTGACCCGCCAGAAAAAGAAGCAGAAGCAGAAACAGCAACAGTCTGCAAAACCACAGAAGCGAAATTAATAGGAACAAAATTTTCGACAGCAGCTCCTTAATTGGTCCAAACACAACTGGGCGTATTTTAATGCAGAAAATGTCAAATGTAAATACAGTGTTTTAGCTGAGTTTCACTGCCCAGTTTTGTGCAAGTATCCACTTATTATCTTATGAATAACAATGACTGGAACATCGTTGCACACGCTAATGTGCTGACTCCTTGCTTGTCTGACAGTAGTAATAGCACACAGGTTCAGGGGCAATTGACTAAACCTGTGTGTGCAGCACACCAGACAGGTGTACTGTAAACCCAAATAATCTAAATACCAATTAAAAGTGGGGTTTTTTGTTTGTTTGTTTGTTTTTTCCTAATTCAGTCTAAGTGTGTGCATCTTGGTCCTGTGATAGATGAGTGATTAGTCCAGGGTGTACTCTGCCTTGATAGAACAGCTGGAATAGTCTCCAGCCTTCCTGCAACCCTGGACCGCATAAGTGGAAGGAAATGAATGGATTGATGGATGTCTTGTGTCAGTAATGTGTAGTCAGGAAAGCATTCAGCTCTTTTATCTAAACACAGTCAGGCTGAGAAAAATATGCATGCAAGCACTTACTGCACTTAATATGATCAAGAAAGACGGGAAGAAGATGTTTGTCTGCTAGAGTCTGCACTTATCTATTAATATTGCAGCGTGCATGTCAAGGAAGCTCAGAGCTTGCAGTTCATAATTATGCCTGTTCTGTTTTCATGACTGTTTTATGTTTGTTCCATTATGCTTACAGTTTATTTTCTCAGGCTTTATTTATTCCCTTTATGTGAAGAAAGTGAGCAGTGACACCATGGGTGCATTGGGGTTTTTGATTATCGGCGTGTTGACACAGATAAGAGTCTTATGCGACTGAAATGGAGGCAAGTCGGCTTATTTTTTAGGTTCACATTTCATTCATTCTAAAAACTGATAGAGCCCCAGGTATTTAACCCATAGTGGGCTTCTCCTCTTGGAGGTTGCCCTGTTCACACCTCTCAGTGATACAGGCAGTGCCATGACCTGGATGACTGACAACCCACATGCAGATAAGAGAGTGCAGAGTGATGCTCTGCTCAATTTGATAATAAAGTCTTATGGGGCAAATCTCAAGCTATCGAGAAAAGGTCACCACTAAAGCCTTATGCAAATACATTTAATAACCAGTATTCTCATTTTAATATGAGTAACTGTAAGTAAGTGCCCACTATTATTTAAATTAACAGGGTTACTGTGACACAAAGGAAGAAATTATTACAAATTGAGCTTAGTTAGTATTAAAAAGTTTATTTATATCATTTTTTTAAGCTCAAAATGGGAAAGGTCAAATATTTATGTTAACTAAAAGTTTCTTAAACTCTGGCGTAATTGAAACTCACTTGTACACTATTGTTTTGTGTATAATGATAAATTGTTTTAATTGCCCATATCGTTATCTGTCTGCACAATGCTGCAGTCAGCACTCTTCACAGACCATCAGTCACTCTATCATCTGCCCTTTCTCTATCTGCAATGCATGAAAAAAAAAATAACACAGTTACATTTTAATAATGCAAATGGCTCAGGCGCTTAACCCATGCCAACTTTAAACTGAGGATGAAAAGGCAATGTTGGAATTTAAGAAAGTAAGTCATGCACTGTACTGTGTTAGCCTTGTTCAGTGCACTAACTGAACAAGGCTAACACAGCGTATCATATGAAGGCTCAATTACACAGGTCTGGAGACTGGCCAGTGATCTCCCGGTAACCTCTGGTTGTCAGGAAAAAAAACAGTTTTTGCCAGACGGTTTGCAAGTGGTTGCTGGGTGAAATTGGTTGCAAACAGGGTGGCAGTTCTCGTTTGTGTTGCAGTTTTTTAAGTTTACTTACCACTTGGTGGTTGGTTAGCGTTTGTAGACAAACTGGTGTCACAACCGCATCAATCAGTCTAGCAACCAGAGCAACTGCAAGGAGATTTTTGGTGCAGCACTGTATACCTCTTTGCAATCAAGTTCATCTACCAGCTTCCAGCAACCACTCAACAACTGGTTGGAGATTTAACATTTTGCTCTGAATCTTCCTTCCCATGATTATACTTTTAAACACAACTCTAAAACATAGACAAACAAATGAGAAGTGGCCCGATAACAGATGCAAAAAGTTGCTATGTATGTACCTTCATCTCTTTACCAATGTAATGAGTAATGACTGAATGTATTTATTTATCTAATTATATCAGGTGTTTACAGCATCCATGCATCATAAACCGCTGAGAAGTGAACAGACAAATATGGTGACCCACTGATCATGAATGAGGTTCCTCACTGCTCTGTGATCAATCTAAATGGAAAGAGTGATATTTTAGGATATGTAAGCGCTTATGAAACATGATCTGCATCATCAAAAATACCCTTGTGTGTATATATTTAAATCAGCACTTACTGTGCGCGTTGTCAAGGGTGTTGCATAAGGTGACTATTACACGTTGGGTTTTTTTCCTTACTGATACACAATAGGCGATGTGCTCTGTTCAAACACAATCCCTTTTCTCTGTAGATTTAAAAATAACATGCCATCCTCGCCCATTACATAACTCAATATCAGTCAGCACCAAGGTCGGCGGTGAGAGCTTTAAAACAGAAAAGAGGCGCGCAATTAGGTGTTTACCCCGGAAGCCTTTCCACTGCTGGCTACAGGAGAAAAAGTGTGTGCGAGAGTGTGAGAGTGACCTTCTGCTCTTGGGCTTCTTAGCAGCCTTTCCAGGTCAAACACACAGTCTCCACAGCTTATTTATTCCAAACAGAACAGAACAGTAGGACTGAGTTATGGAAATACTTTGTGATCCAATATTGTCTTTAAAAGTAGATCCAAACTTGTAATCTGTCGCAGCGGTAGGAAACATTAAGTTTGCTGGGATCCAGCTGGGTTGAAACCCATCAGTGTGCTGGATTGTTACCACTGCTGACGTGTGCAATCAGCAAAGAGACCTTAACGTCTACTTTAGTGGAAGGCAGGCTTAGACCCTTAGTAATAATAACGGGATGCATGCTTAGAATTATTATAAAAACACAGTACCATCACAAATTCCTCCAAAGAAAATTCCGCATACTCAACCAGTGGTCGGTTCAGACTTCACCATCGGGATTTTTAAACGGACCTCAATGAAATCCTGAGGTTGATAACAGCGGTTTCTGAACCTTAAATTACCTCAGCTAGAGATTCTGGTTAAAGAGATAAAAATGT